ATCCTGCATACCATGCCTTTCATTCTTTGATTCTCGCTTCGTTCCGATTTCAATGACTTTCGCAACACAGTAAAGATGAAGGTCTCCTAACTTCCTCTTTTTCAGAGGGTTCTTCTTTTTATGGTTTTTATCATTTGAAAACAGGTTTAATAGTGGATAAAATGTAGTAATAGTCTTAAGAATACTACACAATAAATTGCAATAATAGTCATTTAACAGTTAAATTCATAAAATAACTATTTAGTGTATGTTCATCTCTTTGCACAAGGACACATAAATAAAACTCCACACTCGACAATTAAAAAAATTAAAATCTCCATTACAGACACACACACCAGGCGAAGGACCTCCGACCCAGGTTCTCATTATACGGAACCCATACAGAGTTTGGAATATCCGTCGTCCGTGGAACCTCGTTCTCGCGGGCGCGACCCAGTCCCCGCCCGGCTTTTACAAAGCATTGGACAGAACTAAAACGTTGCAAATTGAAAAACTCTGTCACCTTGCCTCCGGGCGCCACTCCTTCGGCAAAAATTTCATTGTTAGTCGGTGTTCTGTCCACTTTGTCAGTCCCCGCCACGAGAACTAAATGGGGTGAAACCTCCGCGGACTTAGTCGACGATCTTTAATATAGCTTCACCACAGCCAGAGGAACAGACACGACAGTAGACTGCCTAGGTACAGATCCTAACCAGTACATCGCAGGCGTTCGCCTGAGAATCTCCATTACAGCAACACATGTTTTGAACACACACACACACACACTGAACACAAAACAAAAAAGGAGATACAGAGTCTTATCTCGGCGTGCCGCAACACAGCGGATGCCGTAACACACTGGGCCCCCATGCATGACCTTGTCATGAGCTCAAATGAAACTCAAACAGAACTAGTTGTAAATATAAAACATAAATGTATGAAATCATACCAATCGACCATCCACTAAAAGTCAGACCAGTTTCTGGACTGGTCTCTTCATTTCACATGAAAGAATTTTTAAGTTCACTGCTCTTACTTTGTTGTCGGCTGCTATACAAGTGGAACTGCTTGCTGTTTTTCACATAAGTGGCAGCAAATTTCCATCCTTGATTAGCACTAAATCATTCAGACGTAAATCGTCACTGAGGATTTTCCACGTGTCGAGTAAGGCGACTAGCCTTTTGAGGTTAACTGAGTCGAGTAGTCGTTTGACGACGACTGAAAAAATCTCTGCATCTCATTTCCATCAATCACGGATAAGAATTTACTCAATTGTAAAAGTAGGTCCAGGAACACTTTTTAGAAACACTCGAACCGATAATAAAGTTACTCGGTAAAATAACAGAAAAATCATTTGGGTCCACAGAAGCAGCTAATAAAGAACGGGACTTTAATACTGTTTAAGTCTCCACCAGGCACGTAGAAAGCATTTCTTGCAAAGAATATGCGATTCTATAACACGTTTCATGTGAAACTTCAAGGATTTAATGGCTGCCTGCTATAGCCCTCTAAACTGAGGAATTGATAGAACATTTGTATCAATTTAACGCTTTTTATTTAAAGTAAGTACCAGTTGTATATGTCGTACAGGCTATTAAATAATTCTTCTCATCGATAAAATTCGTTTCACAATCCCTGGATATTTTAGCTAACTTCTTTCGTCGACCGATGAAGTGCTGCAATACATTCCTGAATACTAAGATCTATGATAAGCTCTAAATGGACGGTTTTCGTTGTGAAGCACAAAAACACATACATTTTGTGTGGTTTAACGCCTCTGCTACGTGCTGATCAAAAATGCTCCGACAAAATCAGTAAAAAGAAATTGCTTTACTGGGATACACTCTCGCAGAAGGTAAGTCTGCCATCATTTGTTTGGAAAATTCAGAGCAAAAATCTGGCATAGAAAACGCATTTTCTCACTTATCTGCACATTTTAGTTTTTGCTCCTCTAATCCAAAATTTTTATTTCATCGCTGAGTTAACTATTTGTACTTATTCGTGCATGCCATTAAGATGATAAAATTTCACTCACAATTTTGTGCTTAGGTAATATTATCTGATATATATTTTTAAAACGGCCTCCTCCACTTAGTAATCTACTGTTGTCCAAGAACCGATTAAAAGAAAATAAAAGATTCTTCTTTAACACTTTCACCTTTCCTAAAATAGCTACACTATCTGGACGAATGTATTCGTACACCCCTAAAGAAGTGGATCTGGCAGGTGACGTTGATTTGATGCGTAACAGAAAAAGGTCATATTTATGCGTTTGTGAGACAATAACTATGCCAAAGGAGCTTAGTGATCATTCTGCGTCACATGCTCTGTTATGCTAGTCCAGTTTCGGCATGTGTCTGCAAATCGAACCGCAAACGCCTGCAGACTGCTCATATTGTGTTCTACATTAGATTACAAATTCCGAATAACAGAATACATGCGGAACTAAGGGTAGTTCAATTAAGAACGAATTATTATAATCTGACTAGGAAGTTTCCTGAAAGACAGCAGCAAATTAACAAACCTGTCATAAAAATTGTAAATAATGATTACGACGACCTAAACAATATAAATAGGCGACTATCCTAAACGCCTGGATTATGTAATTATTCATGTCTTTTGCATCTACATAATTATTGTATTTGTGTAAATTGTTTCTATAGTATGTCATTTTATTATATATTTACTATACTGCATTTACTATAGTGTAATTGTATATTACCTATACCCAAACAGATTCGAACTGACCTTTTGATTTGCACCTTACCATAACTTACTTTCATTACAGCTCCGTTCTAGTTAGTTCACCAGCCCGACTGCTTTGTGCCTTTCTCCTTTCGTGAAATCTAACTTTATTAAGTTTTATTATTTGAATTAAATATTTTTGGTCAATTTTGTGCATGTATTATTAATTCTATCCAACTATAAATTCACCTTGAAAAAGTAAATGGTGCCTGCCGTAGAACAGATAGTTTAGAATGTGCTCTTACGGATAAAAAGGTTGGGGACCCCTGCGGTAATGCCTTGGCGCCATTTTAAAAATTATTGCTAGTACCAAAATGTTTAGTGCTCATCATGAATGCCGCGTTTATAGCTCATCATAATGTCGCCAAAAATCGCCAAATTCCGTGTGTACCGTATACTAGGATTAAACCCTAATTCCGCCTCTGACTGAAAGAGTTTTAGTTCCTCTTAACTCTAATTTCGTTTTCTGATTTTTGTCGCTCAGTTTGTATTTTCGTTTCCTCTAGAACATTATCAATAATGTTTTGCATAAATTCAGCGTCATCTGCATCTGAATTTTCGGCTAATCTTTGGAATATGGTAACAGGTAGTTTGGCGACATTTTGGTAAGGCGATAAAGGTTACTAGCTAGGACTTTAGCAGTGTACATAGATAAAGTCAAGAGTGTGCGCAATGCCATTTTTGTGCAATTCCGGGATGTTTTTTTAAGTGAAAATAAGTCGACGTGTACATGGATGATACCGTGTATGTGCATGATTAAGCATTTTTGTTCCATAAAAGTTCTAGTATAAGCGTAATTCGGCTAAAAAAAAAAAAAATCAATCATGCCTTTACTTCGTGAAAACAAAATGGCGTCCAAAACAAAACTAGCAGATTGCTGTAGCAGGGTTGGTTGCCAAATTTTCGCCAAAAAATCGCCAAGTTACCATAATCCAAAGATTAATCGAATTTTCTGTTAAAATTTTCAAAATAACTAGCTTTGCTCCACTTCGAATTATGAATTCTAACCCCTTCGCCATGAGAGTTAACTCATCTTTTTTAATGACTTAAGAGACTGAAGGCTCATTTTAATTAAAAAAATAACAACTCTGAACCAGCAATTAAAACACAATGCGTATAATAAAAATCACGCCAGACTCAACACGGACACCGACTCAAACTATCAAATAAGAACACTTCAACGTACAGCACTAATAAATAGTATTTATTAGTAGTATAAATTTAGCACTATGATTTATTAAAAAAAAACCCCAAATTAAAAAAAAAATTGAGCCATCAGTTTTCACTTTCAATTTCTAAGTAACACCCCCTATTATATTTTTTTTTTTACACAAAATTTGACAATATGCATGATTATCGTATTCCACCCCGAACAGCAGAAAAATATGCGCGCGGAATCCCACTTCTGAGACGAGAAAAATATATTCACTTCTTGTACACGGAGATAGAAAACTAACTTGCACAGTCCACAAGTAGAAAAAAGTCAAGAGCACCATTACAGATAAACAAGTTCCGCTGATCTTTGAGTTTAGCTGGCTCTGTTTCGGCTCGATGAAGTAGAGTGCTCATAATGGCGGTGAAGGTAGAAATTACCGAACAGTAGAACTAAAAATCGAGATGTGAAAAAAAGGCCAATACATGACTGTCCACAACGTGGAAAAGTCACGCACACACATTGAATGCAAAACAAAAAAGGAGACATAGGGCCCGGGCGAGTCGCAACACAGTGGATGTCCTAACAACGGCCTTTCAATATCATGAAAACGAAAATACCTAAAAATATGCAATTTTATTCGAACGGAATGCGGAGGAATCTAATAAGCAGAGTCGCAAGTGCAATTACTAAGCTAGCTTGAAATAGTGTTATCATAAATGTGCGAGTTTAAATAAACAAGCGATGCTCAGACCAAGCTCAGACTTTCAAAGTCTGCTGTTGCCACAGTATATTGCATATTGGAATAGTGTTATCATAAATGTGCGAGTTTAAATAAACAAGCAATGGTCAGACCAAAGCTCAGACTTTCAAAGTCTTCTGTTGCCACAGTATATTGCATATTCCTTCACAAACCCGTAAAAGATAAGCAGAATGGGAACTGCAACCCAAAGGGGAGATATCCTTCCCCAGCTAGGAGGAATAGAAGCTAAAACCGATTAGGTATTTACTACGCCGTAGCGTTGGCGCGTTGACGTCTATGCAGTAAATTAACGGGTTAACTCCTAAATCGTTCGAACTGCAGTAGAAGTTCTCTTTTCATTCAGTTGTGTATCAGAAGAGTATGGCGTGCGAGAATTTATGTTTCAAATGGACTGTCAACCTTTATGAATGGTCTCAGTTCGTAAATCCAGGATGTTCTGCAGAAATTAGAAGTCCGAGTTATTCTTGTAACTGTAGTTCTTCAAAATGGTATTTACATTTCTCTGCTTATGACAGCGAGAGAATTTTAAACCTTTATAGGGTAGCGTCGGATGAAAAACTTGAAGTCAAGGGAAAGGTTAACTACGTTGCAATTCCTGGTAGACTTCTCAGTCATAATTTGGATTGTGTTATGCATAGTGGTACGGAATACGTAAATATATTTAATACAAACAATAATTTTTTACTGAAACACGAAGTAACGTTGATGTGTGATATATATGTTAGAAAATTAGTGGAAACTTGTGAAAAATCGGTTCAGACTCTCATTAAATTTCCGAAGGATGAAAAATCTATTCAAATACCCACGACGTCCACTAAGCTAAAGCGTGATATGCGTGACCTATGTCAGAAATGCCACCAATCTGACTTTGTTCTTGTCAGCGGAGATGTAGAAATTCCTGTTCACAAATGCATTCTTTTTGCCAGATCTCCAGTGTTTGCTCAAATGTTTCAGCATGCCATGACTGAAAATACTGAGAACAGAATGGTCATCACTGATGTCCAACACGATGTATTGGAGGAGGTGGTGCAATTTATGTACTGTGGTGAGATAAGTCCTGGCGCTTATGCGATGGCTTCTGACCTGTATTATACGGCCGACAAGTACTCCATTTGGGATCTTAAAGATATATGTCGGGAATATATTATTTCTTCTATCTCCATTTCAACAGTTATTGAGACATTAATTTTAGCCGATAGGCATCAAGATAATGAACTACGTCAACATACCATGAATTTTGTTGCTTCCATGTTTAAGCACATAAAATCTACCGAAGCATGGGTTACCTTTAAGAAAGATAACGTGCGCCTGGCAAATGAAATTATGTCATTTGTGTTAGACCAGATATATTCTGAAGAATCTTAGATCTTCATAATATTTTACAGGTTCGAGTAATCGTAGCATGATCGTCAGTCTTTGTTTCGTGTGAATTTCTGCATTACCATATCACCTAAATTAGTACGTATTAAATTACTTTCTGTTCGAAGGGAAAAATATATTGTTCAACTTTGTAATCTTGTTTACTATTTTCTGTAGGTGATCTCTAAAAGGTGATGGTGGAGTACATTCTATTAATGAAAGTCCTTAACCTTTATTGTTTTGTAATGAAATTGCAGTATTAAATGTAAACAAATGATATCTTGCGAACTAAACCTTATAAACTAAATACTTATCAATTACCAAGATAATTTAGCAACTGCTATTATTCCAATTAATGTTAAAAGGTTAATAAGTAATATTAAAAGGTTTAACTTAAATTTTATTGGAGTTGTTTTGTAGTTTAGTGATTTTAGTATTATACTAGCAAATATGATTAAGAACTAATTCTTAACAAAATTTTATGAATGGGAATTGTGTGAGTCATATAGACGTACTGTAGATCCATATAGTTTTAAAATTTGTAAGAAGTATGTGTATAATGTTTGTAAATAAATTTTTAAGTAATTCAGATTTTGTGATTTGTTAATAAGCTTTTGCAGATAAATTTATAAGTTTAATTAAAGCTTTTTTAAAAATTACATTACTGAATAGGAATTATCATCATCTGTTTTCGGAAGTTTGCTAAATAATTTCAGTATCGACGTAGTTAATATTGCATATATATAACAGCAAAATGCGCGTACAAAAAATTTGAAATTCACTAGTTTGAGATCTGAAAGAAAATCGTCATGAAACTGTAAAAATTTCAATGTATATTAAAGCTTATACCGGGATTTTATTTGGTTTATGCAAATTACATGATAGTATATGTCTAGACATACTCGGATAGAAGATCCATTATATTAGTCAATTATTGGTTCATCCTAGTGCTGAAAAATATATTAACACTTGGCAAAACTAGTGAATAAGGCTCCGTTATATTCATGATGTTACGAATACTGCTAATGTCTATAAATGGCTCACGGAAGTTTATTTTCTATCTCGAAGGAAAAATAACAACCAAAAAATAATTTGTTAATCTTTAGATTATGGTAACTTGGCGATTTTTTGGTGAAAATTTGGCGACCAACCCTGCTACAGCACCTGCTAGTTTTGTTTAGACGCCATTTTGTTTTTAGGAAGTAAAGGCAATTTTTTTAATTTTTTGTTTTACTCAACATTTTTTTTTCCAACAATCTGCTAGCCGAATTACGCTTATGCTAGAACTTTTATGGAACAAAAGTGCTTAATCATGACCAAAATTAGGTAGAAATTGGGAGAAAGTGCAGAATCGCAAACTGCTTACCGCGTTTTTAAGAATTACACATACACGGAATCCATGTACACGTCGACCTATTTTCACTTAAAAAAACATCCCAGAATTGTACAAAATGGCATTGCGCACACTCTTGACTTTATCCATGTACACTGCTAAAAGTCCTAGCTAGTAGCCTTTATCGCCTTACCAAAATGTCGCCAAACTACCTGTTACCGTATTCCAAAGATTAACCAATAATTTACTTATTCAAATAGTTTGCAATTTGAAATAGTGGAAATTTTATCTTATTATTAAAAATTGTGAAGAATTGTCTATGTGTGTTACTCCCATTATGCCTGCACAACCACCGTCCTCCCTAGAGCATGTGCACGTTGAATCTAGAATTTCGGTTAGAATTTTTATTTATTTTATTGTTTGTGCCAATGTAAAGAATTCTGATTAACAAATCCGGTGCTTTAAAAGGAGTGTGTTGCCTCTATTCGAAATAAAACATTTACTTCTACCGTCCGCCAGTATGTAGGCATTTGGCGAAACGTAAAGATATTTTGCATTCAAATTTAATCTTCTTGTTACTGAGTAACAAACGCAGCCATTTAAACGCAGTAAACTCAGTTTCTAAACTTTTTGATCTAACTGGTTTACAAAAATGCAATTAAGTGATGTTATATTAAATTTATAATTTTAATATAACTTAGTTTTTGTAGTTTACAAAAAACTGTTCTTATGCTTTATGGTACGCGGTTGATACAGTATGCTTTTTTAATTTTTATAGTGTTTTGCATTTTATTGTGATATATTCTTTCTTGATTTTTTACATAATTCTTTGGGAAAGCTTTGTCAAGCTTGTAAGTAAAAAGACCAAAAAAATTACTTCAGAAGTAATATATATATATGATAATTGCTACAGAATGAACATTGTGTATAGTATCATCAAATCCTTCAATAAAGCAAACGTAATATGAAGTAATAAAATTCATATTTGACTTAATATCGGTACCAGGGCCAGCGTTAGGCATTTTGCCATAGTGTGCAAATTCTGCGTGAACTAAATTCTGTTGCCGGGTGCTTTCCTAAATTCTAAAAATTTTGCCGCTCGATGCCTCTCCACATTCTAAAATATTTGCGATACTCTATCACTCGCGTCACCTCTGGCATCGGCTAATAGAATAAGATGCAGTATAATATTGTTTGTATGTACTGAAAAATAGAATACCATGAAAATAATATAAACGTAACTGGAAAGATATGAGGAAAAAAAAGGGTGATCTATACTTTATATTCCGTATTGTTAAACAATTAAGATCCGATAACATTAGATACCTGTACAATTTCATACAAACGTATAGTTACATATGATAGTAAGTTAATGGCTATTAATATATTTACTAATTTCATGAAAGTAATGGGCTTGCAAGATTCCAAGCTAACTTCTTTTCAGCTAGGATTACAAACGTATAGTCATGATTTTAGATAATAAAATCATGACTTTCTGCAGAAATCTGGAAAAACGAATAACCCCTTTTTTGCATTCTGCGTACTTGCAAAATTTCTTTGAAATTTGATTCACTTGCACAATTTCTTTCTTTTTGTATAAAATGAGCAATTATTATTTTTTGACGTAAAAACATTTAGAACTAATTATAATTAAATTTGAAATCGTATGAAAATTTCGACACCTCACTTTTTACTGTTTCAGTGTAAGTTATCGCGATTAAATGTGCAATACTTTTTAAATATACCATCATACACGCTTACAGATTTTAACTTGTAAGTCTATTTGGTACTTACGAAAAATCTCGTCGACCAGAAGAGACGCCACCAATCGCACCAAACCCCCCCCCCCGAAAAACAAAATAACGTTTACTAAATACAAGGAAAAACATTTTCTATTCTTATTTTTCTTTCAAATTTATTATATTATCATTTATTTATATTTAATTTTCAATTAAAAATTTCCATTATTTTTTTATTAAGGAGATACACTGTAAAAGCAATTATTTTCGTTAGGTTTTAATTTTTGGGAGAAAATATAAGTCTCGCGAAATACTTCCCAGCGTGTTTGAAGAGGAATTTTCCATTTTTGATGAAAATCGCGTAGTTTGCCGTCTTTTCTTAATAGGCAAAAATGGTAGAAATTTTAAATCGTGAAATTACCGACTCATTTTTCACTACCTCAGTTAAAATTATGGTCGTGCTGTTTAAACGTTTACGCATGATTACAAATTTTAACTAACAAGTTTACTTTGCTCTATCGGGAGCGGAATCAGAAATGTATGAACGTGTGTGTGTATGTATGTACGTGCATATATGCATAGATACACCATACATTCGTACTTATATTACATGCATACATAAAATTCCATTTCTGAACCCGGTTCTGGTAACCGAACATTGCCTGTACTTTTACAGTTCTTTATTAATGTACAGAAAAGGTAGGAATTGAAGGCCGTTACACATTTAAGTTTTCTCAAAACTGTAATTTTCCTGCTTGCGAGCATGATTTTTCCAAAATCGCGTCTCCGAATTTCAAGAAATTTTGACCAATCGTTTGAACAATATGTGGGGATAAACCATTTTGTTTATCACATTAAGAAAGACCTGCTTGTTCACGCTATAATTCGCGGCATAAAACTGGATCCATGGGCTTCTCGCATTAAAAACTTCGGGTACGCTTATCGAAAGAAAAGAGAAAAATGTTAAAAGGGAAGCATAAAATCAGCAAAGGAACAACTTCATGCTTAAACAATTTTTTTAAAATATTATTCCATTATTTTTAAAGCAGCTCATTGTAAATACACTTTAATATTCTAATTTGCGAAAGAAAAAACGCCTAAAAATAGCAATTTGTTTATTCGTAATGCTATTCGTTCACTAAATGCAATTTTATTTCTATGAAGAGGAACTTTTCTATTTTATTCAAAAAGTTTTAATATTTGAAACACCAGGATGGTTTTAATGTCTAATACGTAGTATATGCTGACGTAAGTACAACATAACCAATGTCGAAATATATATACAAAATTTTACTGATCATAATGCAGTTTGTTATAAAGGTACTGTGTTAAAAAGTTTTGTTGTAATGTGGTATTTTAAAGCTACCTGACCCTTTAAAAGAACTTCCTTCATTCTAAGCTTTTTGGAGCATAATTAAAATCAGTTGCTATACTAAAAAATTGTACATGAACTGAAGTATTTATAATAATTGTATAATTTACATTACATCTAAAATCTGGAGTTGTTGGACTGAAAGTATTGATTAAATATGTGCAATGAGAAAAGCAATCCTATTTTGATTTATTAAAATGTTATAATTTATTATCAAAAGGTGGAGCTAAAGAAAAAATGTATTTGTAGTAGCTATTTTAGGCCGAATGAAATTTCTGGAAAATAGAGAAGGGAATTTGCTCTCCGTTCAAAATGCTCACGAATTCAAACTTGTAATAAAAATTATTCTTTTCGCATATACTTGGTTATTTACAATCTCAAAATACAGTTTCGCGATGTTGCATTTTCCAGTTTACGTTCAGTTTTTTTTTTTTTAAGTTTGAGTATTGATTAGCTGTGCTTTTTAATTGAAATAAATTCATAAATTCCTATTTTGGTTTGATGATATTTCTTCGAACTTTTGAGTTGAGATTCATAAGATTCTGAACAATGAGAAATTTCA